GCTGTCAATATTGAACAAGTACTGGTCGCACAACTGCTGGAGTGTGGCTTGTCCATCTTCAGATTCGAAATCCTTTTGCCTACAGTAGACCAAAAGAAAGAGCAACAAACTAGCAGCTGCGTAACTGAGCTGAAACTGCTCAAACTCTCACTCAAACTCTTCCTGAGAGATGGGCTCATACCGCAATATGTAAAACAACAGCTTTCTGACAGGTTGGTTGGCCACAAGGGTCAGAAACAGTTTGACTTCCGCTCCAACTGAAGAAGCCCTGAGCTGCTGAACAAGTGCCACTGTCATGTTCAAAGTCTTTGCCACTCAATTATTTTTATTTATAATTGTTCGTTTAGAACAGGCGCTAAGTTGGGAACCATCGGGAGAGTTGAAGCCGTCGTGTCTTCTGCTGTGCCCGAAAGGCATCTGAATCTGAAGTTTGCACCTGATCCCCCCCCCCAAAAAAATACGGGCAGCAACACAACAGTACACAGTACACATGAGAACGCTCCAAATATGATGTGTGGTGTGAGTGTGTTGACGCTTGACTGTGAACCACCCCAAACTGAAACTGCGACTTGGATCCCCACATCCCCGTCCAAAGTAGTTGGCAGGCTTGAGTTACCCGAATCCTTCTCTGACAATGCCTTCATCAGCGGAACAAAGAGCCTGTGAAATAGGCTCAGGGCGAGGCACCATTGGGACACTGCAGGGACCCCTGTCCAGCGGCTTTGTGCTGGCTTAGGAGGTTTGACGTGAAGGAAAAGATGCTGTACTAAAGTTGTAACGTGGTGCCCCAAGACTTCCAAGAGCTTGGCCGCGGCGGAGCGGGACGCTGGCAAAGTTGCATCCTCCATGTAAACAGTAATTGCCTGTTCATTCCAGTTGCTTTTGCCCACTAACCTAGCATGCAATAGCCACACTGTTGCAGAAGAATACATGAGAAATGGCTTGCCGATTGGAACAAAATTATGGTTCATTGTAGCAATATGATAAAACATAGTAAATAGTCGAGAAACATGATCAGCTCTTCTGCGCTCTCCATCACAGCAGTCTTCTTGTTGGTTTCCAATTCATCTGCTGTTTGCCACTTGCCAAGTAGTTTGAGTGTGTTCACATTCTCTTGCTCCCGCCTCAAGCGCATTTCCTCGCTCAAGTCGGAGAGAGGGGCCAGGCAAAGGTTACCTTGAATCTGGGCCAGGCAAAGGGCCATGTGCGGACGGACAGCCTAAGACGGAAGATGCTTCTTACTTGGGCTGGGTCCACAGGTTAAAGATGTTCGACCAAGCTGCCACAAATCAAGGTCCGAAGTGTTCTTTGTAGAATCGACCATGAAGACTTGCTCGACATTTGGTTCCCGCAACGGACCAGGTTGGTTAGAAAGGCTTGCTTTGGGAGCTTGGAAGGCTCTGTCTGGGGGGAAGGTTCAGGTTTTGCCTTCCCCTTCGCTTTTGCCTTTGCTTTGGGTTTCCCTTTTCCTTTTCCCTTCCCGTCTGACTGGTCCTGGCCCTGTTCCTCCCACTTCAGTGGCAAATCCTGAGAATGAGGCAGACCGGGGCACGCAACAAAACAACGCCGCCAATGCCAGTCTTTGTGTCACAAAAAAAAGCCAGTTGCCACATTACATTAAATTACATATGATAAATTATATGTTTTTTAAAGATAAATCACTAGACTCGCTCAAGTCACTACCAGTACTTACCTGTAAGTTTCGAATGAAAGGTGAGAACAGTGAGAACCACGAGCCGGCAGTCCAGTCGGAAGATTTGATCGGAATTGCACAGGTGGATGCAGTGACATTGACATACAATGTCAAGGACCTGAAGGAAGACATGTGACAAATGTGAGCACACCTCTGGGCTTCAGAACCAACAATAACACATACGCAGCTGATCCACTGATGCGTAAGAACCACGCCAACGGTGTTCCCGTCTGGTTGTACCCAGAGTTGGGTCTGGCCATTTGCGCCCGAACCTTGACTGAGCGGCTACAAAGGTCAGTGACGTGACTGACTCAACCTTAACAACTCATGACTCTGACTCTGTTACATGTTTCAGTTTGGTGGCCCTTAGGGATTTCCCGTTCACCGTTTAGTGTTGTCCCAGTCTCAAGTTTGGACTTGGGCTGTGGCAACCTCGGCCTTCTTAATCACATTGTTTGATGGTGCTCCGTCCGCCACATAAATGGTGAGGTTGAAGGCTGCATCATTAGCAAGAATGTTCCTGCACCAACTGAAAAAGAACACAACTTTCATTTCAGTTTCAGATCGAAGTGGACTGGCCTCCCACCGATTGGCAGTGGCTTCCACTTCTCAATTGCGGATAGCAAAGCGGCGGCCGTCAAGCGAAGTAGATGAAGTGGAGGCACCAAGATTGGTTCCTATCATCCCGCAGCCTACTCACACTAGACTGGAATGAATGAGCACCACACCTTGAAAAGCAGCGGCGCAGCCCAGGGTGGTGAATCCAGGTTCACAACCTGCAGGACTGGCAGCTGCTCCGACCGTTCCCCCCCCAAAAAAAACAAAGATAGGAGAATAGCCATGGTCCGTGGGGTCAACCTCAAACCAGCCACCCAACTGAATCAAGTCGACTGAACTTTTAAAAAACAAACTCCGAGCAATTGACGCTGAGTTCGCCGTACTGCACCATGGTCGACCTAGACTGTGGGGCCGGATGAAAAAATGGACCAAATTAAATCCGACTCGCGCATATGTAAATCAAGACTAAAGCCACTGTCGCTGCCACTAAGTTCAAAACATCACAATGTTGGCAGTGCTTTGCCCAAGTTGTTTCCTGATTACTTGACCAACTTGACTTGACCATATGAAGTGAACACTTGGTCAAACTAATATGATACCAACAAGAAAAAAACCAACATCTCGACTCAGACTTGGGTTCGCTTTGACATAGGCTTTGCCAATTGGGAAACCTCCCAGCATCATATGCAGCATTGGCCCCGGCACGCCTTTCCTCTGTGTATCAGAGGCCAACTGCTCCTCCGCGGGATTGAAATCATCCAATCCAGTACAAATTATGCGATCAATTCGATCAGAATTGGACCCCATCTACTTCAAGTCAAGTGAATCCGGCTCCCAACTGATATCCTAATGATTCCTAGTGCCACTCCCGTGCCCCATGTCCGTCTCATCCCACATCCACATGGATATTGTCAAGTAGTTCTCTGGCAGTAACAGGCCCATTTCACTTGGATCTGAACAGTCTGGGTCTCCAGGACATTGCACCTTGCTGGAAGGAATGAGTCTGCACGGGTTACAATTTAGAGTAAGGGTGATGGGGCCGGGTGCCTTTCCCACATCAAAGCAACTAATTGAAAACCCAGAAACCCAGTAGTTCAGCCATTCCCGTTGCTTGGTCAGCATGATCTCTGCAATGTTGAATTTGCTTGCACGTATAAAACGTCGATCGAAGGTTTCCTTAGACAACTGCGTGGGATTTGCCAAGGTGCCACACCAGTTCATCAAACAACTGAACTGACTGAACGTGTCTGTAGCCGTATGTTGCCGTCCAGTCCAGTCCCCAGCCCTGCCCACACCCCACACCACTAATTGCCAAAACTCCCCAAGCTGCTGCGTCAGTTCTGCCGCGGGCTGTGAGAGAAGACCACAAACATTTGCGATAGTGGCAATTGCTTTCAGAACATGTCGTGCCACTGTTTGTATGTGCGAGGCCGCTATGCGTCCTGGTAAGAACCCTGATGCTATTTGTAGTTCTTCGTCTACCAAAGATTGGCCAGCAGGAGTCTGAGGGTCACCTCCACAATGTTTTGCCCTAGATCGTTTGCAGGCACGCGCCACTGCGAGTGAATTGTTGGACGTAGCCGACGGAGCCCTTCCTGACAGAAACTATTTGGGAACTGTGGGTTCCTTCATGACTGGTCACACGACCAGCAAACTAGCACCCCGAAACCAAACAAAAGATAGAAGAACAACTTGGCATTAAGCACTGCCAAGATTCTCCGACGCAACTTGTGAGGAGCAGGCTCGCAAACAAAATCCAGTGGATCGCACATTGCATGTGTGGCCACCTACACCCTAGCCCGGAGAAAAGGAACAGCCACCTTTGCTTAGATTCCCTGTGGCTCACGGTACAAATAGACATTTCTGTGTTACTGCTCACAAACATGAGGCTGATTCGCAAACACGGTCATGAACCTGACCAAACCATTTGACAACACGAGCCTGCGGGCCGTTCTGAGCGACAATGACAGCCGGGGCTTTGGCAAAGCTGGGGCGTCCGTGTGCAGCCGGAACGGAAACCAAAATTTGGCTTCAGGGTAGAGGAGAGAGGACCAAAATTTGGTTTGTCACGAAATTGCGCACTGACTTGCTTTGTAATGTTCTAGTCCGAGCGGTTTCCTCTATGCATGATTAAGCTTCACCACACGCACTGCAACGTGTGACCACTGTATGGGCACACCTGGATCTCCTTTGATGAAACCAATGAAACCTGTTTTGGTGGTAGAATGTTGGTGGTGTCCCGCTTTTCTCAAAAAGAGTGTGTCCAGGTCCTGTTGATTTTGATTGATCCAAAACATACAAAACTGTGTTTTTTCCTGTTTTTTTGCGTTTTCTAGAAAAATGATGTTTCCTAAAAAGATGTGTTTTTCTTAGTTTTGTCACGTTTTCCAAAAAAGTGTCTTTTTTGGTGGATTTTGAGCTTTTCAAGGGCTCAAAATTGCAAATTCACAAAAACTGCCACATTTATCAACTTTTTGTAAAGTTCAAAAACTGACCAAAAACATAGTTTTCTTGATTTTGGCCGGTTTTTTCTTGTGTTACAGAGACCCCCCCTTACCGGCCCAAATTGTACATCCTAAGTCCAAAGCATGAGGTATCAAATGTATGGTCCTTCAGTATAGTCCTGCGAACGAATCAAAATGCCGGATACCTCGTAGTTCTTGTCTTCAATTCTTTGTTCTAGGTGTTCTTGAACAACGGGTCTCCAATCTACAATAGTTGTTCCAGTCTTCAATCCTGAGCCTCTGGCATCTTGAACCTGGCAGCACCACTATGGACCTTGGTGACCCCACTTTAGAACAATTGAAAACAAATCCTTGGTCCCCGTCGCCGTCGTTCGGCAAGGTGCCTCAGCTCCACCAAAGGCTTCGTGAGCTGGGGAGCCACCATAGGAGTGCACCTGAAGAACAACATGACTCACATGGTCTTAACGTCTTAACATTGTTCACACATCGCAAGTAGGTTGGAGGCAATCGCTCTTATCAGCACATTGTTAACACATTTATTCTCCTAGAGTCTCACACATGTTCAATCACTGCACTCGAAGGCGTCTTCCGAGGCTGTGTGGGCGATCGCTCCAACAACTCCCATTGGTTCCCCCTTGAAACGTTGAAAATCGTGATCCAAATGGTGACTACATGTTAGCATAGTAAGAGCTGTCAGGTTTTAGCAGTTATTAGGGTCAACTTGTGGATTGGCCTTTCAACTAGCCCCCTCAAGCACGATGTGAAAGGGTCCAGATTGAACATATCGCATAGCCGGCAAAGATCTGCCACGGCGCAGCAAACTTGTCGGATCTGACCTTGGGAAAGAGCAATGGCTGGTGTACCACCATCAAATCAGTGAAGGGTGTCTCACAGGCCCAGCAAGGCAATCGTTGCCAAAACAGCCGGTACTGCTCAAATATAGGCTTCACATCACCAATAATATACCCCTACCCAACGGTAGAACTGCTTCATCCGACCAAGAGGTATCGATACTTCCACCTAAATACAATCCAGATTCATTCTTGCAGCTACAGGCACCACAGAGGCTTTTCTCGGTTTTGAATCCAGTCCATGACATATTGGCCGATTGGCCTTGACAAATTGCAGTCGATTGCGCCAGCCCTCTCTTTGACGCAAACCGCCGGCTCAAGTTTGTGTATTTCTCCAGTATTGAAAGTATACTCAGGACTGGACCTCACAAGATGTGGAGACGTTCGCAAAGCAGCCCTTGTCAGCAGAACTGCACATTATCCTTGTGCCCTCGTGGTCACTCTGGTAAAAGATCCCACTCAGGCATTCCTTGTTGAGCAACAGTAGAAACATATATCTGACGCTTGTCCAATGAAGCTAAGAACCTTTTGAATCCGGAGCTTGGACCACCGAATTTTGTGGGTGCTGAGTTGTGTGAAAAGTCTGGAGAATGCGCAGCAATAACTTCCAGAAGTTGAAGTATGTGAATTCGGATTTGTACAATCTGCTTGTTTCTACTAGTAAGGCACTTGTTACTAGTAGCGATGCCAGGAGCCCCTAGTAGCGTCCTTTGTTCTTGCAAATCAGGTAAGGGTCGCAGTTTCTGTAGACTTAAGCGCAGTCAAGACTCCATCTCAGAAAGATCTTCGCATGATTTGTTTCTGCTCCTGAGGCCCACAAAACAAAAGGCCCGTTGACAGGGACTAGACCAGAATCGTGAACCTACTAAGCATGACCGGCCCTATCCCACAACTCCTTGTGTTGATCTTGTCGCAATACAAATAGCAGCCATTTAACTCAAGAGAGTTGGCTTCCGCATGCCCACTCCTACACAGTGAATATTGTTCGTCGCAGACTTTAGAGGAGTCTTGTAGGCATTTGCCACCGCTTTGATAGCAAAGTCTTCTTTTACCCCCACTGTCTGTTTCATAGAAATCTTGAGATTCGCATGAAGCTGCAGGCAAGTCAGCGCAAGAAGCGTTCATGCTGCGGGTGTCAGTCTTCTCGCAGAGAGACAGGCAAAAGTGTGGCACTTCGTTGGCAAGCAACCTCTCAGAGGAATTTGCCAAGCTGGATGCCGCTGTGGTTGTAAAAACCAATGGTGGCAGAGAAGATGCAGGATGGCTTCTGTCATCAGAGCAAGGTGCGACATTTCCAGAGCAAGAGCGCGCTGGATCAGCGGCGCACCTGTTCCCGTGCGGGACACACAAGCGCCGGTGACCATGCCGATCACTTTCGTAGAATTGGGCACTACTGCAATGCGCAAGGCTTAAGTCCGCACAAGACAAACCTGACACTGCTGTGTTGGTTCTGTAGCACATCGAGCGGCACTCGGAGCTGTTCAGCTCTTCGCTCTGTTCAAAGTCAATGTTTCCTGGGCAAGTGATGTTTCTGCCTGGACATTCAGCTTGGGAAGATGCAACGCAGGAAATCGAATCCGATCCACTCAATTCCTTGCATTCTCTGCGATTGCCATCTCCGTCGCTTTCGTAGAACTGACCGCTTGAGCACTCCTCAGGAGAGAGCAAGTGGCAGAAACTGTCGATACTTCGCAGGTCTGTCTTGTAGCACAACGAGTGACAAAAACCCCTGGCGCTCGAAGTGGGACCATCACATTGGAGCTCCGAAAGTAGACAGGCAGTCGTCCAGTCTTCTGTACATTTCCACTGGGGCTGCCAAATGCAAAGTCGATACTCACCTTGCTTCTTTTGGTAGAAGCCAAGTGCCTTGCAGTCTTCCTCAGGGTGAAGTACGCACCAAATGTCACATCAAACTGCAGGCGGTGTCAAGACTATATAAATGGGCATGTAAAATTAGCGCAATTGAAAACCTCTTAAACCCGTATCCTCGGGAAGCTCCTTGCAAGTCTTGGCACCTCTCAGGTCAATGTTCGACTTGTTGCAAAGCTTCTGACAGAATGGTGTTGGAGGTGGGCCTGCCATGAAAAGGCAGTGTTATGACTGCTGGCTTCTGATTGCTGAAGACATGAGGATAACAAAATGGTATGCTATGCACATGTGTAAAAGTCTCTGAACAGCGACAAACAAAAATCTCCCCGCTACCCTTCACGATCATATTGAAGGGCATGTCATTTTGACCTCAGATGGCACACAATGCTGAATTCACAGTGAGCTAAATTCCAACGCTGAATTCCGCTTTGTGGAAAAGGCCCCTTTGCTCTCTAGCCGCCTCGAGAGGTGAGAAAATCGCTTTCGCTGCAAGTGAGGTGGAGTCCACATTCCTACCCTTGTCGTAAGCTGTATGTTACAAAGGAGGCACTGTGATGCTGCGCGCTGCAAAACTGTAGTCATCTTTACAATGCCAAGATCCTTGTGCTTGGCGTACAAAACAGGAGCAGCATCAGCTCAGTCTCATGCACCGCTATACTGTATCGGTATGCATCTCTATCCACGCTAGACGAAGCATCATTTCCGGACGAGAAAGTGCCTTGCAAAAGAAGGCCTTTCGTCTGTAGTACGGATGACTGAAATGTGGCACTGCACTGCAGACATCTGGCACTGCACTGCAAACCTTGTAGGTCAAGCTGAGTTGATCTTTGCAAAAGAGAGGCATTGCAGTATCATCCATAAAAGGAGAGATTGACCCGGCAGTGCACGTTCATTACTTCATTAAAATACCGAGCAACAAAGGGTGGGTACACATGCTTGGCTGGTGTGCAAGAGTAGTCCGTCCCCCAACAATCGCCATCAATCCGAGCTTGAACGTGCGTTGGAACACGACCATAGCGGCTAAGGTATGAATAGCTGCAAGCCTTCGACATACTCACTCCTCCAGTCACCATCCCTGAGGCAGGACTGTGCCCTCCGTTTAGACTTTGGCGATGTTTACAGCCATTGCTTCCACTGTGCTCCACCATGTATAAAGTCCTCTCCAGCAAGACTCTCCGGATGTGCTCTTCCCCCTCACCCAACATCGTGTTCCTTGCATTTTTGCATGTGGCGCTGCTGTATATTCTGGTAGAATGCAAAGTCCATGGCTCCCAGTAGATCTGGCGTAGAGAGATTCGCTGAACTACATTTGTGTCATTGACATCATGGACGGACTTTCGATCCGACTCATTGAACCTAAGCTAGGACAATCTCAGGAGTTGAAGGACAACACAATCTGAAATTTCACGGAACGCAAGACAACCCTGCAAACGCTTGCAATAAATCAACATCTTAGCGACAGAGCGGTCTCGTTGACTTTGCGCCCACGAAGCTGAGGGTCCTTCCGGCTTTTTGGAAGTGGGTTTGGGGCGAGGAGATGAAAGCAAATAAACAAGAGAACCTCTATGATAGCTTATATATAGATAGGTTATAGCCTTATAGCACATATTATCTGTTGCACATGACATGGGTTTCATGTTCTTTCATGTACTCTCTCTCTCTCTCTCCAACAATCGTGGAAGTGGACAATGGCTCCTGTATGTGCCTCCTCAACAAACAGGGGGGCTGTCTACTTCCTTGTATGGAGAGAGGGTATCATGTATCAAAGGTCCTCACCGAAGCCAACGGCAATGAGGGCAACAAAAAGCTTAAGGACACAATCTACCATGAACGTAGTGTACCCTCGCACCAAAGCCAGGACAGGACCACACCAAAACTGGAGCCAAAATGTTTTTTGGGTGTGGCGGCAACATCTCTTGGCAAATCACATGTTTGCAGGATAACTTCAACCATTTGCCTTGCAAGTTCACTCCAGTCATCTGAGCACCCGGCAATAAAGTTCCATGAGGAAGCCACAGGGACATGTATAGGTCAAGACCACCCAAACGACACAAGAAGCCACGGAATACACATCTAAAGAACCGGAACAATGGAAAAGGCGGCTAGTTGTCCTGGAGACAGTTGTGTTTGCACGCCTTCTAGATTGAAATGACCACCGGCATCGAAACTGGCCAAGCCTTGGCTGGCAGCGATCCTCTAATGACAGCAATGAAGGGATCTGCAACGCAAAACAAAAGTTTGAGCCCAAAACAAGGGTCATAGGTGACATATGCGTGTCTCAAGTACAATAAGTGCAAGCAAACAAGCGGGAAAATATAGAAAGTCTAGAGCAGGATCTACTTCTGACCCATCCCATGCATAAGCTGAAAAGACCTACAGTACAAGTGAAGGATCCAATTGACGAAGGGAAATCTCAATAGATAATTTGCCAAAGAAAGAACAGAAGAGACACATTAGATCCTCGAACAAGGTCCGGAATCGCAATGGGAACCCACTAGTCAAACAGCACCCTCGGACGTCACCAGAGTCCAAATCTAAACCGTGCAAACAGCAATGATGACTTTGCACAACACTGACCTTTCCAGCATAAAGCAAAGCGATGACCTCGCCTGCTTGCTGGTTCCACCCCCAACACAACAGCCGCCCCGGCTGCTTCTCAACTGTCAAGCGGCCAGTGCGTTGCCGTTGCGGACTTCTGGTATGTCCAAACCTAGGCAGGTGGCGCATGCTCAGCAAGCAAACGATTGCAAAAGTGAATGCAAGACAACAACTCTCAGCGAGGATGATCAAGAAATGCAGTGGGGTTACAAACAATCTGCAAAGCATCCACAAAAAATCAACTCAACTGGCTCACCAAGCCACTGTGCGACATCGGTCAAAAGCAGCAACGCAGGAAGGGTACGCATTCGTCTGCACAAACTACATGACACTAAGCACGCTGTGCTTTTTGAACCATATGCACCGAGGAAGAACGGTGCCTCAAGGAGTTCCCTTGCGACACCAGCAAGATGGTCATCGCAAATAGGGTGTTTTTAAACAACGGCTGTCACCTTTTTCACCACTTGGATAAGGCTCGAGAACAAACTGCTAGACACGCTAGACATGACGTTTTTTTCCTGCAGGGATCTGTACATCCTGCATTTGCTCCCACAAAAGACTGCTCAAGACTGCATCAAACACGATGACAGGATCTATTCCGCCAGTGCTGTACCTTGGATACTGGAAACAAGTCTGTGCACTTTCGCAGAAAAGCTCCTAAGCAGTTTGTCCCCCTTCTACCGTTGGATTTGCGAAAGAGTCAAAGGCCAACCAGCCAAACTAGCCGACAGAAATGGGTCGCCAAAGGAAACCCTTTGCGTTGAGAAGGATGGCATCATTGGTGACCACAACAGCAAAGATCCAAACCAAAATACTTGTCATTGAAGGACTTGTTGGCTCCAAAGCGCACCTAAAAGCTCGTTAGCAGCTGAAGGCGAGTGACTTGATTGATCCCAAAGTCACCGCAGCAAGATTGCACCTTTCTGGGTCCTTCGACTCGGTTGGAGAACAATATTTTAAGAGGGAACCAGCCAAAAGGTAGCGTAGAGAAATATGAGGGTCCAAGCAGTAATCCTACTAGGTCTTTCAACCTGTAAACCTGGATTGGAAACAACTCAACTTATCTTCTGCCCTCCCTTTCACGGCAAGCTGCCCAAGTTCTCCAACTTCACAGGTCCACACCTTCGCTCGGCCAGGCGAGATATATTCCAAAAGATAGTCGATCCTTGGATACTGAACTACCCACTACAGTTTCAACCCCTGGCAGGGCACATAGAGGTTCCAGCTATGCTCCATAACTGCAAGGACCGCAGTGGTAAATAGCGTATAAAATATCATATATATATATACAGTATATATATATATATTCATTCAGTTCAACGTTCAATTTCAAAGGTGAGGAAGGCTCATACTAGCAAGGAGGCGTCCACATTGCCACATCCAGAGGAACCAAAAGGTTGTGAAGTTTACCTAGGCAAACCTGCAAGACTTGCTCTCTTCGCCAAAAGGTTGTTTACCAAGGTTCCGAACGGAGACCGTGGACTCCGACGCTTGGGCCATGAGCCAGAGATTCCAACGCTGTGAGAGCCGCTGGATCTGCTCCAAGGCATTTTGCCACGCAGCATGATCGTCAAAGAACCAGTCGCGCCGGGCACGATCTTCCGCGGATTCCTTTTCATAGTCTCTTACATACCCATTGCCATCGATCCTTGCAAACCTGGTGTACAGAATCTGGACCAGTTTCCCGTTCACCAAAAAACATCTGGCTTCCAAAGCTGTCTGGACTCGTTCCTGCACGTAGACGCAGTCATTGGTGTAGTTTGGCTGAGTCAACAAGAAGTACATTGCTTCTGCAAGCTGCTGCTGTCCTTTGACCATTTTCACGTCAACACCTTCATAGCTGTATCCAAGCTTCGCCACAACTTCCTCGGACATGGCTTCGCCACAATCTGCACTGAGTGCCTGTCGATCCTTCTTCAAAAGCTTCAATGTCTCTAAAGCCAAGAAAGCAGCTCTCAAGGGGTTTTGCAAGACCAGACTCTTGGAGAGACGCGTTGTTAGAGGAATCTGAAATTGAGGACAAATGCACAAACTGACCATCCATTCTTTGGAGGTTAAATTCTTCCAAAGCTGTAATGGATGTGGCCAACACGTACTGATTCCACATGCCTCCATTCGGGCAACTAGCTGGAACAGCAGCTCCGAATCGACATATGCAGCAGCCGTTGGACGCATCTCACCTGTGTTTGAACAAAAGTATGTTCACAAAAGTCTATATATTCAATTGTTGGATCGAAACACAAGCTGCGCACGCTGTGAAACCAAAGAAGCTCTGCGCACAATATGATTGCTTGTGCAGTTGATATATCATATCCCCGTTTCACTGGTTTCACTTGATCTACATGAACTCAAAAGAGGGTGGACCTCCCCTGAACAAAGATTATCATCCAGCTGGATACACTAGTCACTAGAATCAAACTGTGCAAACCAAGCTGAGCAGCCGTAGCTCTGAAGTCCTTGAATGGGCCACAGAAAGTAAAACGCGGAAATGATTCTTCCTCGACACACCGACAGCAGGAACTCGGGGGAAAGCCGAGGAAACTCGTCGCTGTGCTGGATGAACACGGTCAGCACCTCGTAGTCGTGAGCTAGTTTAGGCGTCACTGCCTCCTTGAAGAAGGTGCGGATGAATCGATTGGAAATGGTAGAGCCTTCCTCACCCCATGAATGAGAGTCATAGTCAATGGGGATCTTTGCTGCACCCCATTGAAATATGATGAAGGAGACTGAAACCTCACACCCACCCACCGTTGCTTCAGATCTTCTTCGATACACACCGCTAAATGTTGATGGCATGTTTGCATGGACATTCCATGCATTGGCAGTTCTAGCTCGAACGCTTTGAAGGCTGACCTCTGATACCAAAGCATTTGGATCTTTAGTGATGGAAATATGATCTCCAGTCGCCCAGTCATACCATTGCAGCTGCTCCCAGCGAAACTTGATGGCTTCAACTTTCTTGTCACCAGCTATTGTCGCACCTGTCACCACATCAGTGACGATCGCTGGGAGCCACCTCTGTGTCCACCCAATACGAGGCCGGTTCGCCCCGAGTGAGGGGCTCGCACTTAGTATCCATCTGTCTCCCACGAGTTCGACTCGCTCATTTCCATGGTCCTCCGGAAAAGGCATCTGATAGAAGACCTCAATCTCATCTCCCTGCCTAAAGCCAAGTTCCTCCGATGTGCAAGCCATACGGACCTTCTATTCCTTCAAGCAGTTGGACCCCTTTTAGAGCATCCGGCTGACCTCTCCGCTCCAAAAGCATGGCAAACAATAGGTGAGCAGGTCAGCAGGTCAAAACAAACATGTCTTATATTATAAATCCCGCCACCACACGGCATGTACAGCATGCAACCACATGTGACTGTATGTAGCATTGAACTGTCTGCTGTAACGGCAAAGATTGCGAGTGGAAGTCCAGAAAAAATGGTTCCAAGTTAACTAGTTGTTGATAGGCTTGGTGAGTTGACGGTCCTTGTTTGCTCATTGGAAGTTACTCTTTGCAAGGTAGTTCATGATGTCCGCCTCGTCAAAGCTGTCAATTATAAGTTGGGAGTGCCCTCCAACTCACTAAGCATGCACCTCGAGCCAACGCCGGATAGCAGAACCTAATTTGTAATTTGTAACTATATATTACTCCGCTGCATTGAAGTTCTAGTGTGACAAGATGTGACAAGGCTCCTCCTCCTAGGAGTCTAGCAACTGGCTTCCGAAACCTACTGGCTTGAAGCACTTATTGAAACGAAAACATCGAATCGTTGAATCTGCCTCTCAATCCGGGCACACCAAAGCGCTTGATCAACTCTTGTCTTCTATCGAAGGTATTTGGAGAGGATCTTCACAAACAAATCCGCCTGTGGCTTCCAGGTGGGTCTCGATACCTGTCTGTCAATGAGCTCCACTTACAAATTGAGAAAGATTGGAACCTAGATGGGTAGCTGTAGCTGTCATGCTCGACTAGGCATGGGACAGTACTTCCGCTTCAATTCTCTTTGGGTAGAAAGTGGAATGTCGAGTGTCTGAAGCGTGCTGAACTACAGCAAAAGTATACAACCACTAAAATCGGTAGGCGGCATCAAATATGTTTGAGCCCTTGTCAGAGCTCGGGCATGTCTCCTCCTTTTGGGCACTCTCCCCCGTAAGCCTGCTTATAGTGGTGCAAAGCCATTTCCCTTGTTTTTTTCAACAACCGTGCCAGCCAGCTCTCCAAGTGCTGCATCGCTCACATCAGTTGAGGACCTGCGACGAGCAAACAACTACTGGCGCAAGTTGTCTGGATTGGAAACAAAACCCTGTGCCCCCCCGGTGAAGTCATACTTTTGACTCAGAGCAAATCTTGCTTTGCTCAAACACTGATCGACTTGATCTTCATCAACTCAACATGGAATGCAGCTAAATCCCCCTGCCTCGAGCTCAAAAATCAGTCCTCTTCCTCGTCACCGCCTCCGCCGGCGCCCTTGCTTGCCATCATCTTGCGGCGCACACGCCCTGGTCGGCCACCACCGAAGGGAGAAGTCAAGGCAAAGTCAATGTGCTTCTCGCTGTCCAGGCGAACCAAGAA